GCTGTGCCGGCTTCATCTCCATCGGACATGTTTTAGGAACAGCAGTGCAAGGGCTCTGAATCACTTTGTTATAGGCTCTGTCAGCTCTGAAATTGTTCATGTAAATCAACCAACCAATGTCCTCAGGTCAAAATTATTTGAATGTCAGGAAAGGCTTTATGACCAGCAGCTTTTTCTTTTCTGGGATCCCCGCAGCCTCTTGTCCTCCCCAAATGGCATCTCCAGAACACTGGGTTTCCGTCCCCGCACCCCGAGTGCGTGGCTCTGTTTTCACTGACTATGTTGGGAGTCTCTTTTGTTAATCACTGAAGCAAAGCGTCATTAGTGAGAAGTGCAGAGTGTACACAAAGAGGAACTTGCCAAATTACTAATAAGCAGAAACTCCATCCATCTTAATGAGACAGGGTTAAGAAAATAGCAACCTAAAATACACACAATGGAGGCTTTCCAGGCTGTTTGTTCATGTTAGGAAGTTGTTCAGAACTCCATCCCTGGTGCTGCTCGGAGATGGTCGCGCCATTTCCAAACCATAGGCTTGCTTATGCTCTTGCAAATCATCAAGCATGAGGAAGACAAATAAATAAATGGACAGGAGGCTCAAAAATTTATTAGATGGAAGACAAATATCTGGCCTCCAAACAAATGAAACAACCACACAGCTAAATGCTGGTTCTCTTCACTGCTGAGCAGGTCAGGTTTGCACTGGGTGAGAGACGAAGAGGGAGATGCTCGTGGCAGGGCTCGGGACCCTCGTGGTGCCGGTGTGTGGTGCCGGTGTGTGGTGCCGGTGCGTGGTGCCGCTGAGGCAGCGCCTGGCAGGGGCAGCCAGTGCTCCCAGGGTGCTCCACCTTGTGTTCTGGACACCTGCACCAGAGCCACCCGCACTGGGAAGAAGCTTCCATTTGGGGAAAGACAGGGAAAAATGACAAACACATGTTTTCTGGGTTTGGTCATGAAGGGTCCAAAGAAGAACTCCCAGAAACCCCAGCCAGCAGCTTTCCTTCGAGGCCGAGAGAGCCGGTGGGCTCTCGGAAGGCCCTGGATAACTCATGTACTCGCCTGGTGACCGATGCGGGCACCTGTTAAGGACCATGTGGTCCCCCTGGGGTTTGCTCTGCCTGGTCTGCAGGGCTGAAGGAAGAGCTGTGATGGGCTGGTCCTTCTGGGATTGCTGCGGATGGTGCGGGTCTCGGCACTGGAGAGGACCCCTCTGCTGGCAGCTGCTGCCCAGTGGCCACCTGCAGGGCAGATCTCGGGGACCTGTGGTGATTTCAGGGTGCAGTAGTTGGTTCCTCAGACAGGGGATTGCCACAGAGCAGCAAGCACAAGGAGATGCTTCCCTGTGGTGGGCAGGTCTCCAGCTCCCCTCCTTCGTGGTCCCTCTCCAAGCAGCCAAGGGTCCCTGTGTGCCCAGTCACCGCGGGGCTGCTCCTGTGCTGAGCCCCCATTGCATCACCCCGGGGCTGTGATTTATAGCTCCTGGGTGACTTGCAGCCCTTCCCCGGGTTTCTCTGGCAACACGGAGGGGTTTGCACCCCCGGGGAGGTGCCTGCACACCTGGGTTCCCCGGCCATGTCTCCCTTTGTGGGGAAGGAATGACTCGCAGCGTGTTTTTTCATGTGAGCAGCTGAGCTGCTGGCTGTTTTATTGAACGCCAGCGCTCGCTGCATGTTATTCAGGCAAACTTTATATACGGCACAGAGCCGCCCAGCAGCCTGCACCTGGTCCAGGGCAAAGCTGAGCCTCATAGAGAAGAATGTGCTGTAATGCAGCAAGTTATTACAGGATAAATATTTATAAGCCCCTGTAAATATTTGCCCTCAGTTCCCTCCTGGGACTAGGGGCAGGCGGTCAGAGTTTCGGCCCTGCTGAAGGCATTAGTTCTTGTAGTTCTTTATATGTTATCTCAGCTAGTAAACCCTTTGTTGATTGTGTTTAGCTATAGCATTTAATGGTGCTAATTTCACACTAACAGGAGACATCGGCTGGAATTGTTGCATGCCTCGATCCCGGTCCGGCCCTTGGTGTGAGCATCCCCTGCAGCGTGGGGGTGACAGGCACCAGGCTGGGACAGCAGAGGGGGTCCACAACTGCAAAACCTCCCTGCGGGACGAGGGAGGGCTTCTGGCTGCACTGGTGTCTTTGGAACCTTGGAGATACCCGCTGAGAGCACCAGAGAACAAACACGGCAAAACCAACATCCTCCTGGGCAGGCTGACCCCGTGGGGGCTGTCAGCTCCCAGCTGCCCAGGGGGGCTCTAATCTAAAGCAAATATCCCCCGGGGGTGTCCAGGAGCTGTCCTGCCGCAGGAGGTGACACGGTGGGGTCCCCCTATAGGGACACGGGGGGTGGGCTGCCCCCGCCAGCTCTTTCTGTCCCCTCCTTGGTGGGAGCTCAGGCGCCTGGTGCCAGGCAAACCCCGGCTCCCAGCTGGTGGTCCTCCTGTGGCCCCGCTTGGGGCAAGGACAGCGGGTGCCCGTGTCCGGCCAGTCCCAGCACCCCCCGTCGCTGCCGCCTCCGCTGGGGCCGGGCCGGCTCGGCAGCGGTGGGAAACCGGGGAAGAAATGCCAGGGCAGGCAAGGCCATGACTCCTCCATGCCCTCAAACGCAGCAGTAAAACAATGGGCCCTGGGCAATAGCGCTTGCCGGATTGTTGCACGGGACTATTTGGGGGCTCCACTTTGCTGCTCATGCACGAAAGCCAGTCATTTGGCAAAAATCAGCTCAGTTAGCAGCCATTGTTCGTAAAGAGCCCGGGGCTGAATGGGCTCAGGGCTAATATATTCTATTATCCCACGCCTGCCGGTTTCCCCAGGGCAGCCTGGAGGGAAATGCACATTCCAGCGCCGGGCGCTGGGGCAGGGCAGAGCGTGGCCCGTGGTCCTGCCCGGTGGGCAACCAGGCTGGGGGGGCCGGGAGGGCACCGCTGTGGACGGCAGAGGTGGGTGCCGGGGCCGCATCAGCCTCCAGCCACCCCTTTGAGGGGACGTGGCACAGGGCAGCCATGGCGAGCAGGGGAGGCTGCGGTGGGGCCAGAGCATGCGGGCCCGCAGGCTGCGGGGATGGACAATGGAGCCAGGAATAAGCACGGTTAATTGGGCTGTGCTTTTCAAAGGGTGGGAGAGGACAGGGGACAGCCGAAATCATGCGTGTTGCAAAGCATCTCGTTATTCACTAAGAATACGCTAGCCCCTGTGGGAGAGGCAGCAATAAATGGCTATAAAGCAAAGTTAAACGCTGACATTAGAGACTGTGCAGAGATTTAAGAAGCGGTGGGCTACATAATTATGAGCGGAAATGGCTGCACAGTCTTCACTCAGAAAAGTTAATGCCCAATTTGGATGGGGTTTGTTGGAAGAGCAGCCCTTCTTGGGCAGCTGCTATTTAAGAGGACTTATACTGTGTATTAAGCAATTTCATGGTCTAGACCAGAGCTGTTGGCTTTTTTCTTTTTTCTTTTTTTTTTTTTTTTTTTTTTTCCTCAAAAGGTTTTGGTCTGCTTTCATTAATCTGAAACATCCTGAATACGAAATGCAGAATGAGAATTTTGGCTTTCTTTAAAAAGATATCATGGCCTAGATCTTCCATCTCCTTTCATGCTGTTTTGCGCTGTTCTAGCAGATAGGAGCAGCAGGGCAGCTGGCACAACTTGCTGCCCAAGGAGTTTTTTTTTTTTTTTTTTTTTTTTTTTTTTTTTAAGAAAAGATGGTTTTCTGGACAATTCTATTTCAGTTTACAATTCACTCCTAGATCCCTGCACAGGTGATCCCTGCACAGGTGATCCCTGCTGAGGTGAATGTGGGTATCAGAATCAGAAGAGAAGGGATCCAGCAAAGACCTTCCCTGGGCTGAATCCGAGAACGGTCCATGTGTTGAGCGTGGATGGATCCAGCAGCCAGGGCCGCCCTGCAGCTCCCCGGCTGGGATGGATGAAGGGCACTGATGTGGCAGCAGCCCTTCGAGCTCAGGGATTCCGCGTGGTGTGTCAGGGCTGCAGCCAGCCCAGTAACCAGCGAGGGATGCTCTGGGTATGGGGTGGCCCCATCTCCGGAGTGACCAAGGCAGGACATTTACCCTGGGATCTGCTGAGCTGGCGATAACCAGGATCCTGATGGTCACTTTATCGCAATGTTACTGCTGTTGCTTTTGGAGAGATCCCCAGCTTTCGAACAAAAGTTTCCCAAGTCCCTGCCTCCCCTGCCTGGCTGTGGCGTTTCTCTCACACCTCTCAGCCAGGAATAGAAAGATTACAGCAATGCCAAGTAAAACACACCCCTTGCCACTCTGAAAACAGAGCAGCTCTGAGGCTTGCTTATGATCTTGCAGTAGAGAATGGAGAGTTACTGGCACAATTTGGTTCAGAGCGCCCCAGAGGAGCAGGGGCCACGTTCTGGGCCAAAGGCTCGTACCCGAGGATGTAACAATGGGTGGAAATAAAGATTCTTGAGAGAAATTCATCCCAACAGCCCTTGAGCGGATCAGTGCCCTGTTCTCTACACCACACATCCAGCACGCCACTGGAACACCGCTGTATTTTCTACATTCTCAAAAATGAGATGTTTCACTGTTTCTAAACTGATTTTGGTAAAAGCAATTCTAGGCTGCTAGATTTTCCCAAGGGATGAGAAGTCCATTTTACAGCTGTTTCTTGGTGCAAACAGTGATCGGTGCTTTGCTCCTGAGCCCAAGCAGCAGGAGAGGGCCTGCTCCATCCAATTGCCTCTTTCATTCAGGTCCTGGCACCTTATGGTGAAGATTTCTCTTGTTTACTGCTGAATTCTCCACTTCATTAGCGGCGCTAACTGGCTTCTCTCTTCTCTTGGCCCTCAGGTGAAAGTGGCTCTTTCACGCTTCCAGGCTGCAGAGCCTCTTCCATTTACCTCTCAATGAGGTGTAGTTCCTGTATTAAATAGCACAAGCTGTTTAAGCCAAAGGCAGTGGGGGTAACGGGAGCTTTGTGCGGGTCCGGAGGAGGGAGCTCAGGAAAGCTCCATCGGACATGGACACAGGGGCACAGGGGGGGACAGAGCTGCTCGATGGCCAGAAATTGGGCAGCAGGTCTGTGGCAGGCAGCGCCGTGGGTCTGCTTTACCCGCACTGGGGGTCTGGTTTACCCGTGCCCTTTGTCGTGCGAGGGCAGGTGAGGGACAGGCCCTGCTGCTGGGGAACAGCAGATGCTGCTGTTGCACGGCTTCTGCTTCCCTGGCAGGGCTGGAGCCAGGTTTCCCAGGCGCGATACCTCTTTAAGAAACAGACCGACTCTTTCTCTCTCCTGGTTTTTGTTTTCTTTCTTTTTTTTTTTTTTTTTAAATACCATACTTTTCGTTGGAATTTGTCCACAGGGAAATGAGGTCTGCACGCTCCAGTCCAGGTTCTCAGAAACATCTGCACCATGGATGGCCATGGCCGCTCAGCAACGCCTGGGCCTTCCAGGGCTGCCCCCGGGGCCGTCCCCGCCACCTCCCGGGTCGCACATGGGGGAAGCAGCCCGAGGGGGTCTCCCGGTGCCCCCGCGGCCGCCCACGGCACCTTCCCGGCCCCCCGGTCCGGTCCGGGCTCCGCCGCCCCGCTCCCTCTGCAGGTGGCGGGGGGACGCCCCCGCTCCGCCGCCGGGGCGAACCGGGCTGCGCAGCGCCGTCGGGGCCGAGCCAGGGCGCCGTCCCGCACCCTGCGGAGCCACAGTGGGAGGTGA